GCCGCTCCTCGGGGCGGTTCATCTCTGGCGACTCTGCGGCTGAATAAACGGGGGCGGCATGGGATCACACAGCTGAGGAAACGGATAAATCGCCAATACGGCGCCACGCCTCTGACTTGCAAAGGCGCCCTAGAACTGCGCAGCCCAACCCGTGCAGCCGCCGCCCTGCGGATGCCTGACACGCCTCGCCTAGCCCTCACCACAGACCAGCGAACGCTGTGCTAAGCCGTCGGCCGCAGGCTGGATGCAGCTGGCAACCATTTGGTTTTCTCTTTCAGATACCAGATAGAGTACGAGACTCTCTGCAAAATTGAAGCAGACCAGAACGAATTCATTGACCAATTCATTTTTCAGAAATAGAGGCTCTGAAGATAAAAACGAACTTGGAAACTTGACCATTCCAGAATCTTGAGAATTTAAGAAATATGCAATTTTTTTTCACTGTGTGCGAACGAAGAGCTGGGTTGTACAAACGGACGCGTCTGTTAATGCAGCGCCAACGGCACTACCAGCGGCAATAGGGAGAGCTTTCCAACAGATGTAAAGACTGTTCTGTCCTTTGATTTTATAGCAGTTTTGTACAGGCGGCAGTTCCAAATCGCATTATAGCTGAATTAATACTACTGTTGCAATGTTAATCTTTCTCACTTTTTGAAGCCTTCAGCTCTTTCAAAGAAATCAGGAAATAAATTATTGTTTTCAGACTTTCTGGATGTACCAGATCAGTCACTTCTGCCATGTTCTTTTTGAGTGAGAGCATTTACAACCCCTGGCCAGTCCTTCCGATCTCTCTATACGCAGTATTTTTCACGTCTCTAAAGACACAACACACGCTCAGCAGTAACTTTTATCTATATTCACCAGATTATTTTTTCTACAGAGTTAGGAAAAAAAAAAAATCAAAAACCCAAACAGAAATTTACGATTAACAGGAGGGATCGCCTGCAGACACACAAAAAGGCAGAAAAGATGGCAGCACTAAGGACTTCCCCCGAGGCCTGCGGTAGGGCCGTACAGGCAGGAACGTGAGAGCGGAATTCTTCCGTGGGCGGTGTTAGTGGTAGAACTGCAGGCTGATGCGGCAACGCAGCCTCCGCGTGCAGTGGCACCGGGAGCATACAGACACCGTAACTGCGAGCGTGACGGCTGAAACCTGAGTGCCTGGGATCTAAAACGAAGCCTCGTGTTGAGGCGCGAGTAGATGCGGCTTATGTCTGTCTTTAGGCGACCACTGCAGAAACGTTGGCCTCTTCAGAGCCTGAGGGAGGTTTAAATTTTATACCAGTGAAGTCCTGACCCGTGAGGGAAAAGCCGCCTCGGTGACCTGTGATTTTACCCAAGTCTCCAAGTCTGACTCTTGCAGATCAGCTTGAGAACTTAAAAAACCCCAAAAGCAAAACCCACCAGCCCAGAATTTCTATGGTAGTTGGTTTTATTTGCTGTAACGTAAGCGTATATTTACTGTGTGAACTACCTACAATCTCATGGTCATTTTAAGTTCCTTTTAGTCATTCCCTTAAGAAGATTAAAGGCAGTTTAATGCATTTAGTTATTTAATTATATACTAGAAGTGATTTCGTGGGAGAGAGGAATTTAAAAACCGTCGTTTACAATTCCCGAAGTACTTCAGAATCCTCTAGGAAGTATGCCTCGTTGTCAGACAAAGTTCACCTTAAGCATTCAGAAATCCACGTTTGGGCACATTTATCACTGATCAGACACTTGTAATTAATCGGAAGTGAAGCAGAGCAAAGGAAGGGGCGAGGAAGTTAAGAATTACACCATTTGCACCGCTTCGAAAGCACATACAGAGTATGCTCTCAGAAGACAAATTTCTTAGGTGGTTTTCTAGCAATCACCTTGGAAAAGGGAACTTGAGAGAAAAGCAGCAGCCGTAGTTTCCACCCCCATTGCACGGTTACACCCGATGGCCATTTATTTTCCTACCGCACAAAGTGACAGCGGGAGAGGAGCGAGGTCCCTTCACCTGCGTGTGCCCAGAAGCCACGTGGAACGGCTAGCGCAGGCGTCTGCCCAAGCTACTTCTGACGAAAGGAGAGTGGTGAACTCAAACCAGTTCCATTTTTTCCTGCAGGAGCCAGACGCTCCGGTAGTCGCTGCTGCGGCCAACAACGGGAGGCAGATGTTTGTCCCAGAGGACTACGTCAGCACAGGGCCGAGGCAAAGCCAGCAGCAGCGTTGTGCTTGCGGCACACTACTTCCTTTTCCTTTTCTCCAGGTGGTTATAATGGGGGTTGCAGAGCATGGTGTACAGGATGAGAAGGGGTATCAGCAGGTACGGCAGATAGACCGACAGCAGAACGAGGCGCTCCCGTTGCGTCTGAGGTCCCAAGTGCTCAGACTCTGAGAAATCGTGGAACAGTATATGCGCAAGGATGGCAAAGAGCGTTGTGGCTACGTGGGTGGAGTAGATAATTGCCGGAGTCCTTATCCATTTGCAGCCGCCTGTATTGGAGCAAAGAGGAAACTGTATTTTGGAACAAGCAGGATTCAATGGCTTTTAAATTAACTTAATTAATTTAAATTAATTTAAGTTAATCGCTGCATCTCGGATGGGACGAGCCGTGAGTCGTCTTACAGAGGTGGGAGAAAGACCCCAGGTACTAGTAGCAACCCGGGAAAACCATCTGCCTTCATGGAAATTTGGAACGATGGCGCAATTGTGGAAGTTTTAAAGTAACAAAATGAGTACACGGGCTTGACCCAGGACTTTCTCTACGCTGGACGCGTGCCAGATGTCAGACGTTGATGCTGGTGGCTGCAGCGGGAAAGGGCCTACAGTCACGGGATTTGTTCCTGACCGGCCGTACCCCGCGCTGCTTTCTCCGAGAAAAGTTGCCATGAAAATAGCCCAGCACTCCACGTGGTGCCTCCCTATAACTGCCCAAGGCCGATAAATAAACTGTCTCTGCTGTACAGAAAGCAAGTGTTGGGCGGAAATGCTGCACAGGACACGTTCCTACACGTGTTTCATACCAACCTTTTGAGAAGGCGTATACTGCAACGGGGAAGAAGGGCATCTGTAAGAAGGCTTCGCAGTATATAAACGCCTTAAACCACGTGGGGGGCTGGAGCATCATGGGGTCTCTGAAGGTGGCTGCATACCACTGCAACAGCTCTGTCAGCTTCACAAAAAGAACAAAGCAACGGATTAATACAATGAACGTCCACCGCAACGGGGAAAATTGTGACCCTCGTCTGGTGGCCAGATGAAGCCGTCACTGCCAGGGGCAGATCAAGTGATCTCGTCTTTGTACACAAGGCTTCCGACACAATTCAGTTTTAATGGGGACTATGCTGCCAGAGTCTTTAAAGTGATGAACCCTTTCCATTGAGTATTGCTAAATTTTCACTACAGGCAATTTTAGGAGTACCACAGCGCTAAGTGCAGTTGCTGTCCAAAAACCATTTCTGAAATGTCATTTCTTGCCAGAAAAAACCCTAACGTCAGCAGATCTGCACCTTAACACCAGTAGATGTTGAAGGACTCTTGCATTTTCCTCTTACTCAGTCCTGCAAATGCCTTTAGGCACTCTCTGGGTCTGGCCAGGAGACGCGGCCCTGGCCAGGTCCCACCCGGTGACGAGGAGTTTGGGGCCTCGCTCAGCTGGGAGCCCATCCTCGGGTGAGCCGGTTGGTGGGCGGCTGCCGCTGCTCCAACAGCGCGACCTGAGAGTTTTGGCTTGGTGAGCTGCAATTAGTCTCCGTGACAGAAATGTAAATTCCAGCGTGGCTTTAAGGTGGACTTTGAACGGAGAGAGAGGTATTGAGGTTTGCTAGTTAGCTATTAATTAAAAATGGTTTCTGTACTGGAGTAAGTCTACAGGCAAAAGTCAAATTCACTGATTGGGAAGCCTGGACAGGAAGTTGTGGCTGATCTCATCCTGGTGATGAGATTCGAACTGATTGTCTTCCACCCAACTATTATTGTAATTGACTTCATTGTTTATGGTCTCCTACGAGTTTACTCAAACCCCAGCAAACCAGGGATTTTTACTACCAAGTTTGGTGGCTGGTAACGCCTGCTGCTGCAGCGGTAACAATTCGCTTTTACATTTTTGGCAGGAGTACGGGTGAAAACCGGGATCAGGGAATGACCCAGGCAGGGACGGCCAGGGGCACGGCCGGCGTCCTGGGGGGCATGGGGGCAGCAGGCCCATTCCTGGGCACGTCGGGGTTGCTGCGCCGGTTTGCGTTCCTCTGCCTGCAAACCACATGACCTGGGAGATGGCCATCCGT